GCTGAAAATAAAGACTGGCCTGTTAACTGGCTTCTTGATTTTGCTTAATTTTAACATGACACAATTAAACCAGGGAGAGGAGGGAGTTATTCTGCTGTGTAAGCAGATATAGAAGTAAGTTTTAATGAAGACTGAGCCAGACTTTCAAATGCACATGCATGGTAGGCAATGGACATAAATTCTTACTGAATATTAGGAAATTTTGTTCACTGTGAGGGTGATCAACATTGCAATAGATTGTCCAGAAAGGCTCTAGAATAATTCTGAGAAGCCTGTTAGATCTAACCTTCAAATCTGGCCCTTCTTTGCACATGGGATTGGACAAGATGACTTTCAGAGGTCCTTTCCATTTTAAATTATTTTAAATAACTTTGTTGTCCAGCTTAAGCTATTTTAGATACTAATTTCTTTCAACTGTAGTGTCACACAAATTCAGGAAGACATTGAATGTTCCTGCTGAAATGTCAACATAAAATGTAAGATACTATTACCAAATTTAAAATGATTTTGGGATGCTCACTGGTTCCAATCTCATCCTGGTGTTACTGAAATTTTTGAGGGTCTCATTAAAATATCTTGCCTCAAAATCTCTACATTAAACTATCAAGCTAGGGAAAAGCCTACCCAATGACACTTTCTAAATTACAAAAATTATCTTGTGTTGCTATTTTTCTTACAACATGAATCACTTCCAGATGCACAAATTGCCAAGATAGTTGAAGACTTTTCTCTCCCATGACTGCAAAACAGCAGGTGGGGAATAGCCAGCTCAGTTACTTCAGACAGCAGTAACAGCTTGGCTTATCTTGCTACTAAACCCGAGTATGAACTTGGCTCACTTTTTGTCTGAATAGCTACTGTGGAACAGACCTCTCTATTCCAGTCAGGAATAGTAAAACATTTACATTTTTCTTATAAAAAAGGAGTAGTTTTTCATTACCCAATCCCTTTCACTCACAGATTAGGGTGCATAAATTTCTGGTTGTGACAGGAGGCGATAATTTATTAGCACAGGCAGAGTTGCTAATTAATACTCCTAGAGCTAGGAGCCCACCCCCAATTTAAGGACTTGAGCAGAATTCTTTTTCCTGCCCCCAAAAAGGTACAAAGAAAAGCTGCTCTGCGCTCATCAACAGAAGTTTGACTGTTTTGAAAAAAAGATGTTTCTGGATCAAATTTGCCTCCTAATCTTTGCTCCAGCAGTGAAAAAGTAAAACCCCTATGACGCTGATAAGGGCGCAGTAAGCTACTGCCATGTAAAATATAAGTATTGGGGGGGAGAGATAATGTTTACTTCTCAAGTGTGCCAATTCAGCTCAACCTCCTCATAATGGATGAAAATATGAGAGAACACCTCCAACAAAATGTTCACCTGTAATTAAGCGTACTGATCTTTCTCCAAACTTTGCTTTGGGAGGAAGGGAAAGGGGTTTCTTACCAAACCACAGTAGCCACACAACAAAATAACGTGACCAAGTGTAACAAACATATCCCAGGCCAGAGAGCGAGAAGGAGGGAGAAGTTAACAGAGTACTTACAAAATGAGAAGTAACAATTTCTCAAGGAGCCCACTGGCCCTCTGCTGGAGAAGAAGCATGGTCTGAGATGGCCACGATCAGCTCCAGCAGTCCAGGCAGACTCACTTCTCTTGAAGTGCAGGTTTTAGAGTAAGAGGCAGCCATTGCTGCTGCACAACTCTGACAGCTTTGTGACATGGGCACTGTGCATAAACTGCAAATCTTTCACAGGACTTGAGATGAGTGTGCCCATTCAGTAACTCACCTGTACTAAGGATTTTGCATGGGTAACTTCTTCATAATTAGCTTCAACTGAAATAAATTATATTTATGTTTTAAATGATCTATTGAAGATTTCTGAAAACCTTGTATACAGTCTAACCAGGTAATTCCTTCCCACAAAGCAGACAGCAGCAGATGGCAGTTCTCAGGTATCACCTACAGCTCAAAAATCTTAAAACACTGTAACTTTAGTACAGTAAGTCTGTCCAAAACAACTGTTCGGTACAGCAAAAGAAATGCTCAGAAGATTGAAGGAGGGTTGTTTGTTGTTTCAGGGGGGTAGTCTGTGCGTGTGTTTGTGTGTGTGTGTGTGTTTTTATTACTAGAAGGCACTCTTGACATGCCAAGCTTTCATCCCTGATTGAAACTTAGTTGAAATAAACTACTGCATAAAGTGTCAGAAGCCATCTGTGGATGCTGGTTCCTTGTATTCCATTATGAAGCTGTACTCCAGTAAAAGAGATTTCACATGAAACTGGTGCTAGCTAAAAACTGTTGCATCCATTGAAAGTCTCTCCGAAGTATCTTTTTACTTCTGTTCTTTCATTGTCCATTCAAACTTTGAGTCCTTTGGAATGCAGATAAATATCAAGACATTTGCAGGGCTTTCCTAGGAGGTTAACACTTACAGACTGCTCTTGCAGGTCAGTTGCTGAAACTGTATCTTCAGAACACTTCCTTCGTCAACTATCCCTACAAAGTTACCCAGATCAGGCTGCTTAATGAAAGGCAATTAAATTAACATGGCCAACTTTTCAGGAAAGTAAACTAGAAGCAGTCAAAAAAAAATTCCATCTGCATAGCTGTAGAGGCAGTAAATTCTAGGAAGTGTAATGACAGCTGGAAAGGGAAGGAAGCATCTTCAGCACTGCAGCTATTTCTGTTAAGAACATCTGACTACATTCAAACTTAGAATCTACTTTTTACTAACAAGCTCCAGTTTTATTTCAAACTAACTAGGAGGACAACAGTAGACCCAGGTACACCAAACCACAGAATCATTGCAGATGGAAGGGATCACTGAGATCATGAATCCCACCCCTTTGTTCAAAGCATGGTTAACTAGAGCAGGCTTGAAGCAGGATTGGGGTTGTGTCCACCTGAGTTTTGAGTATCTTAAAGGATTATGAAAGTACAACTTTTCTGAGTAACCTGTTCCAGAGGTCTAAAAAAAGAGTATTTTTTCCTTATGTTTGAGTGGAGTTTCCTGTATTTCAGTTCATGCCAATTGCCTCTTGCCTCTCCACCAGGCACCACAGTAAAGAATTCATCTGTCTTCCCTAGTCCTCTCATCAGATATCTCTACAAATGGATAATAAGATTCTCCCCCAAGTCTTCTCATCACAAGGCTGAACAGTCACAGCTTTCTCAGCTTCTCCTCTGCAAGATGCTCCAGTTCCTCTCTGCTGTTCTTTGCAAGACCCAGTCCAGGATATCCAACCTAATCCCTAATGCAAGCAAGTGCTAATACAAAGCGGTTACTTCAGATTTTCCTTTTCTTATACCTAGAGGTAAACTCTATCAAGGCAGACAATTTTGTTACTTGAAAATTTGAGACTGTGGGTAGAAAAAGTTTCAAGTGATAGAATAGAATTTTGCTAGTATTATTCCACAAGTTGCATATCTTCGACTCTTTGTTACATTACTAAAATTGCACCTTTAGACTTCTATCAAAATATTATTAAAAACATTATTGGAAATGATACTCCTATGGCAGGATTCGTATGACAAAATTCCGGATGCCACCTGAAAACAACTTTATTAGTTAAAAAAAATTAAAATCCTGCCTATCACTAATCTCATATTCTCTTTTTAATAACCACAGTTTTGGGGAAGAGAGATAATGTTGTAAGCCACTTGGAAAGCTCTAATTAGAAATCAGGTCAACTGTAAAGTAATTCTAGATCCACTTGTACCTGAAGTAAGACAGCAAACACAAAGCTATGACAAATCCAATATAACATTTCCCATATTACTCACTACAGTACTGTATTTCACTATACTACTACATATCTCAAGAAACAATTCAGAAGAGCACGACTCTAACTCATATTTTTTATTTCTGCACTGATTTTTCTTCTGCAACTTCCTGAAAGTTTCTATTTCAACAAGCTTTGTATCTCTTGGTACCACAGTAAGTTGCCCAGTCTGAATAGAAAGAAATATCAACAATTACTTTGAGAAGTTTGGCTCGCTTCCCTGATGCAAAGAATGTGCATGTTCAGCACTAGAACTCTGCTGAACTCAACTTGTCTTCCTCAGAAATGGCTTCTAATTATCACAGATGCAGAGGACTTCCAGTTGCTAGCTTGTCTAGAAGGCAAGGAAGACCTTTACCCCAAGTCAAACAAGTGTAGTACAGACCAACAAGAACTTCTCCTTCTGTGAGGAGACATCAAATTAGGCAAAGGAAGAAAAGAATTCTGTGATGTGGATTTCTCAAAGATCATCTTACTGCTTGCTCCAAAAGGCAGGTCAGAAAAAAAATTAATTATGGCATCAAAAATGCATCACCATTACATTAACTAATGAAAAGAACATGGAATACAACCATTACTGCAATACTTCTAGGACAAGGCTCTGTTCTTCCTATCCAAACAAACTCTCAGGGAAAAATCCAATCCTTACTGGATTTCAGTTTGAAGTCATATGAAAAAGCCTTTTCCTAACAAAAATCCGTCCTTTTCTTTTCTGATTAAGCTGCTTTCCCTAAAGCACTGCATACCAGCATTTTAAATTGTTCATCCTTGAGTGTTTTGTTTATAATTTCAGATCCTTTATTAAAATGCATTCTAAAGAAACAAAGCTCATGTTTCAAAGAGGACCAATCTACCACATGCACACCAAAAGGAAGGCACTGGTTCTATCATATTTCATATTATTTCAGTGAAGAGCAGCTGTATAAAAACTTCACGTACAAACTCACCACCTCAGTGCGAAGCTTCCAGAATGTTATCCCTTTTACAACCATTTCTGATTAACATTCTGAAACTGCGATGCATATTTCTATGTTTTTACATTTAAGGCAAATCAACATCCTGTGTCTTTTTTTTCAGCCACCATCCACTATTACATATGGATATTTAAAGAACCAAAAGGGTGAGCACCAAACAACCAATCAATGCTCCCAGCACATTTAAACCAGAGTGCTTCACACCATTTACTACGGTAAGGCCCTTTTTAAATAAATGTGTGACTCACTGTTTGTTTTCTTCACCAGGAGGTGGAGTCTTGCCATGCCCCTCCATTACAAAATCCTCATGTTCCATCTGCAAAGGCAAGCATTGCAGGTCAGAAATCGGTGGAGCAAAATGCACATCACCTAAAGTGGCTCTTTTCCATATGCAGCAACTTAAGGCAGCCACTTTATCACAGTGGCTGGTCCAGAACAGATCATTTAGTTTCTTAGCAACATATGTACATCTCCAACCCCATTGCTATGGTATCGTTTCATAGCACAGATTTCAGAAAATCTTACAAGGGAAAAAGAATGATTTAAATGATTTAATGGCTATCAGTTAGGGTATCTGGGGTCTAAGTTTTGCTCTGTTAAGGACTTCCTCGGTCATTCTAAGTATTATTTTCTACCGCTTCTTCCTTATGTATAAAGCAGGAATTAAAAAAAGTTAGGTCTATCAACATCTCTGGAGAAAAATCAGAATTTTAGAAGAAACATATTAGGCACAGACAGAAACTGCTGCAAAAGCAGAGCACTTCTTGGGAAAAAAATAACTTTTCTACGAAAAAGAGACTCACTGCACACACAGAGCTTAGTTAGCAGGGTAAAAAAGAGGCCTAAGGAAACCTCAAATAGATGCTGTTCCAATGACAACATAAGGTAGGCATTTCCTTTGGCTCACTTGTTAGAAGATTCCAAGGGCAGTAAGGAAGTTTTATGTTTAATTGTTTGCTTTTAAAATGTCAGTTTTAACATACGCTTTCAGTAATTTCTTTGGCCAGAAAGAAGAATTGCATTATATTTGATTGTTAATTAATTACACGCTCTTCATTTAATGACTTAATTCAGTCAGAATTTCTCGCACAAGTAGCAAAATATTTTTCTCTTTATATAAAAATTCTGCACATGCAACTAGTATTTTAAATAAACATCCAGATACACAGTTAGCAATGCTCTACTTCATGTGATGCCAGCAAACAGGTCACACTGCAACACTCAAACCATACAACAAAGCAACTGAATCATAATCATGCACAAATCCATGATCCACTACATTTAACTGGAAAGAGGAGAGAGCCACTGTTCAGTCAGTCAAGATAACAGTTTAGTGAGTCTTTGAAGGAGCAAAAAAGTCCAAACCAAATCAAAATCCAGCAGCCACTTCCCATTGTGCCCCTACCCTCCCTCCAAAATGGTCAAGTTTCCTCATTTGTACCTTGATCCTGTTGACAGGTCAAAAATACTGACAAAATCCATAATCTGCATAGTGACATCCAACAAGGATACCAGAAATTCTGTTATTTCACTGCACAGACGGCCTTAAGCAAAGCCACAAATGAACTGACAAACTGATGAACTACAAGGTGCTAATGACATCCAGAAGACAAACAGTCAATTAAATCTGGGTAGGGTAATTTTACATTTGTAAACATGGATTCAAAAGACCCACGGTCAAAACAGTATTTTCATGTAAAAGCCAGGTTTGAAAGCAAGAAAATTTTGATTTGCAGCTTTGTAAATAACTTGGACTTTTATCCACGTATTCCCACTATATCACTCACTGAAACCTGTAGCTGCCTCAGTCCATATCTGATTCACGAGAGCTCTAAGAGCTGGACTCAAAACTGCCTAGCTGAAGAAAAAGATACCCATTCCACTAATTCTGTTGTTGAAAATGCTAAAATGCAAGTGTGTCAAATGGCAAAATAGCTACAGATTTGTGACCACATCACATAGCAGCATGGCGAGTTACTGTTACACAGAAGGATTTTCCCCTGTTGATGGTTTAGGACAAGTACAGTTCCAATGAATGGTAAGCATGGAACAGTTCATGGCCAGTACTCAGAGGAAAGATGAAATGCTGACTTTGGGAGTAAAGAAGCACTACATGTAGCATATATAGTGCTAAACTAACAAGACTCCCATATAAAACAGAATTTTGATTTAATGAAGCTATAGAAGATGAGGTATAAAAAACGAAGTATAAAAACAACAAACACTTAGAAATGGGAAATTACCAAGTAGATCATAATCAAGAAATCTGAATAAGACCTGGAACATCTAGTAGACCACCACCAGTACAAGGTAATTGCTGAAGTAATGCAAATAAAGCTGTTGCTTTATTATGATTTTTATATAAAGAATACTAATGACATCACTGTTCCAGCCGGCTTATCTACCAAAGTCACCACTCCAAAGAGAAGTGGGGTGAAGAGGTTCACTGACCACATCCAAAGGCAGGCCTGCCATTCAGATGGACCGAGACAGGCTGGAGAAATGGACTCAACAGGAGCTGTGTCAATTCAGACAGAATAAACACAAAACACTGCACCTGAGAGGCCCTGGCAATGATTCAGGCTGTTCTGTGGAAAATGTCTTGGCATCCAGCAAGCTGATCATGAGCCAGCAGTGTGCCTTGTCAGGAAAGGTCAACAGCATCCCAGGCTTTATTAAGAGCCTTGCCAGTAGATGAAGGAACTGATTATCACCTGTACTCAGTGTTTATTATTCCAGCTATGTTCTAACTCACCCCATTTTGGGCCCCACAGTACAAGAACTACATCCATAATGTGGACACAGTAAACCACCACGATGCTCAGGGAGCCAGAGTGCTTGTCCTGTGAGGAAAGGCAGAGAGCTGGGCTTATTCAGCCTGGAGAAGACATGGCTTTGAGAGCACCTTAACAGCAGCCTGTCTGTATCTACAAGGAGCTCAGCCGGGAGTCACGCTCACCACAGGGTACACTGTGACAGGACAAAAAGCCATGAGAATAAGTTGAAACAAGGAAAGTCTAGATTGGATACAAGATGTCTTATTTTCACCATGAGGACAGTCAAGGACTGAAACAGATCACCTGGAAAAGTTTTGTACTCTCCTTAGTTCAAGTTTTTCAAGGCCAGATTGGACAAAGTCCCTCACAACCTGCTCTGATCTCATAGGTGATCCTGCTTTCAACAGGAGGTTGGACTAAAGACCTTGCAAGGTCCCTTCCAACCTGAATTTCCCAGCCATCCTGTAAACACAGGAACAGATTCAGTTTAATATTGAGAGGTAATATACATGATAAAAAAACCTACTGAATTCCCAACCCAGCAAGAATCTGCACTTCATTCTAAAAAGGTCTAAGAAAAAATCTTAGAAAATTGCCTAATCAACAAAAGCCCCAAAAATAAAATAACCACCAGGAAAAACTAAGCTATTCTGAAGAAAGAAATGGTGAAATTACTGTAACAGATCCATACTATGCCGTCCTCTTTTAGAATACTGTCTACGAGTATAGACAAAGAAGGGTCAAAACCCTTCCACAACACTAAAAATATGAGATCTCAGAACAAAGAAAGGTGTAGGCAGAGAGAAGATTTCACAAGAATAAAATCTAACATTTGGCCTGCAAATCTCCCACAATGCAAGATAACACAGGACTGAGGCACAGACACACACACACACACACAAAAAGGCAGTTTGACAGTATTGTAACAAACATCATCCCTTTGCTACCACAATATAAATAAAATCCAACTCACTCCCAAAACAAAAACCAAAACAACAACAACAAACACACAAAAAACCCCAAACCTGTAAGAGGATAACAGAAGGAAAGCATATTATTAACAGACAAAAAATTAATTGAACAAACATGTTGCAACACTGAATTTCACAAGTCCTTGAGGATTTTATGGTTTATGTACCTATAGGTACAAAGATTTATTTGTGTATTAGAGGATTAGAAAACAATAGCAGCACAAGCTTTTCCATTTCTGGCGATGACATAATTTTTACAAAGTGAAAGGGGAAGTTATATATGTAAGATCATTCTACAGGCCTGATCCAGTGCAGCAATTTCTGCATTCCTCTTTTTGCAGAACCTTGATTTTAACTTTCTTTTGCTTACCTCCATACATTGAACAATTTTGATCAGTAACCTGTATTTTTCACTTGGAAATCTGCAGTTTTAAAATTTTTGCTAGAAAATGCTACACAGTTTATTCAGCATTCTAAAAAGTCTAGAATAAGCTTATTAAGTAATATCCATTTCCACAGATATCTTTCCATGAATATCTTTCTGTGACATTTAAAAGTAAAAGTCACTTTATTGGGTAGTTCTTAATTCAAAGAGATATATCTGACAAAGAGCCTTCTGAAAACAATTGAGCAAACTGCCCCAGTAAAACTTCAAAGGCATTGTTTACACTTTCATAATTTTTTTTCTTAGGCCCAGCTATCTATTCATTAATTTTTTGAGATTAAAAAACTCAAAAATTAAAATATTTAGGCCCTATTTTCCCAATTACAGTCATGACATCAAATTGCAGAAAGGATGAGAATATGGTATTTTAAGTTTGTGATTACGTGACTGAGGATGAATTGTAGAGAGGAACAGCACATAATAGTCAGAGTTATTATAGCTGAAAATACTCCTCTTTTTCTCCTCCACCCACAATTCTTCTACAATTCCTATGCACATTCCTTCCCCACAAGTCTCTTAGTTTCCCTTCACTCTTATCATCACCATATCATGTTTGGTACTCTTTTCATCCTTTTTTTTTTTTTTTTTCTTAAGAACACTGAAGCCTGAGGTTCTCACCAAGTTTCAACTACACACAGCATGCAGCAACCTCAACAGATCTGGTGAACTGCAGGCGTTCTGAAAAAGCACATTATAAGTCTTTAGTCTCTCTTGACTCACAGCTTACACAGGAAATGCAGCTGTCCTGAATATGTAGAAAAAGAATGGAAGGTGGAGGCAAGACAGAACTCTTACATCTTGTCTTCCTCCCAAGGGAAGAATAAAAGGTGGAATATGGCAGAGGACTCAAAGCACTTCAGCTTCTCTTAGAAGGACTGCAGAGGGAGCCATTGATTCCAAGAGCAGGAATGAAAGGAAGAGCACTCTACACCTGTTTCTCCTGGCAAGGGATGGAGAAGGCTTCAAGATTCTGGCAGCTGGAAGCAGGAACCAGAAATAGACCTTGAAACAGCAGGGGGGGAAATTCAATAGAAAACTCAGGTTTCTAAAAAAAGGGAACTGCAAATTGCTGAACTCCGTATTTTATTATTTTAAAAGTTTTGTTTCCTTAAAAATCCAGGCA